CTGAGTTGTTAGGAACCAGTTTTTTTTTCTTCTTCTTTGCAACATACTGTGGCCAAACTACAAATGTCAACATGCAAAGGTTGAGGAAGTTGATCCAGCCACAAAGTGACATTTGGCTTCCAGGGGAAGTTATATTCACGCTCAGTGCTATGCCATGATATGTTTTGTTTAGCTTTTGCTTAGGATACCATACTAACTCAATCCCTGCCACTCAGGCAGGGTAACCTTGATTTAGCAGGGCCCTGATTTAGCAGAGCCTGGATTTAGCGGACCATTTGAGCCAGCCGTGTGCTGCAGCTGCCCAAAAAGCCAAACACAGTGCTAGGCTGCATTAACAGAGGGATAGAATCGAGATCACGTGAAGTGTTAATACCACTTTACAAGACCTTGGTAAGGCCACACTTGGAATACTGCACCCAGTTTTGGTCACCACGATGTAAAAAAGATGTTGAGGCTCTAGAAAGAGTACAGAGAAGAGCAACAAAGATGATCAGGGTCCTGGAGGCTAAAACATAGAAGGAATGGATGCTGGAATTGGGTATGTCTAGTTTAATGAAGAGAAGGACGAGGGGGGACAGGATAGCAGAGTTCCAATATCTCAGGGGCTGCCACAAAGAAGAGGGAGTCAAGCTATTCTCCAAAGCACCTGAAGGAAGGACAAGAAGCAATGGATGGAAACTGACCAAAGAGAGAAGCAACCTAGAACTAAGAAGAAATTTCCTGACAGTGAGAACAATTAACCAGTGGAACAACCTGCCTCCAGAAGCAGGGAATGCTCCAACACTGGAAGTTTTTAAAAAGAGACTGGACAGCCATTTGTCTGAAAGGGTGTAGGGTTTCCTGCCTGAGCAGGGGGTTGGACTAGATAACCTCCAAGGTCCCTTCCATCATCATCATCATCATGGTGATGTCTGTTATTTCCAATGGTCTGTTAAATCAGAGAGTCTGTGGTTTCTGATTTAAGGCATTGCTGTAATGGCATTTTTGCACAAATGATGCCCTTTTATGATCTGGGGGCATGGAAGTCATCGCACCAATGAACTGATTTGGATCATTTCAAAAATGATATTTTGAGTTAATGGTCTGAATCGCCATGTTGAATGTGAAGGGTTTTGTATCCTGATGTGATAAATGGGGTTTTTGCTGTAATGCCTAGCTAATGTGTGGCAAGAACCTTTGTTTAATAAACCATGGTTAAACATTAGTGGATAGTACAATGGTCATAAGGTCTTGGAGAGAGGGAGTGACTAAATTTGTAGCCCTATATCAGAGTTTTCCAACTTCAGACATTTTAAGAAAAGAAGGACGAGGGGGGGACATGATAGCAGTGTTCCAGTATCTCAGGGACTGCCCCAAAGAAGAGGGAGTCAAGCTATTCTCCAAAGCACCTGAGGGCAGGACAGGAAGGAACGGATGGAAAGTAATCAAGGAGAGAAGCAACCTAGAACTAAGGAGAAACTTCCTGACAGTTAGAACAGTTAACCAGTGGAACGACCTGCCTCCAGAAGTTGTGGGTGCTCCATCATTGGAGGTTTTAAAGAAGAGATTGGACAGCCATTTGTCTGACATGGTGTAGGTAGGGTTTTCTGCCTGAGCAGAGGGTTGGACTAGATGACCTCCATATTCTATTCTATTCTATTCTATTCTATTCTATTCTATTCTATTCTATTCTATTCTATTCTACTCTACAAAATGCAGAACCCAGTTCCCTTAATTTAGCTGCAGCAATGCAAAAAATATTTTAAAAATCCCTTTTGTTTGAGACCCAAGAAGAATTGTTGTTTTAGGAAACACATTTTTCATTCCTTCGGGCTAAATTGAAATTCTTTCGCTGGGACATATCAACAATCTTTGTCTGCCGAGTTCAGAGGGGATGGTGTGTGCATCTTTTTTTGTTATGACTTTATTCTGCAAGCCACGAGCCTTGCCTGTTTTAGTAACATGTGGTACTAATATTCTTGGTAAGGGATTGCATTTTTTTCCCCTCCCCTTCCTTTTTCACTGCTGAAATGTCTTTGTTTTCTTCTCTCAGAATAACAGAAGGACAGAGTTGGAAGGGACCTTGGAGGTCTTCTAGTCCAACCCCCGGCACAAGCAGTGAGAAGAGTAATTCTCCCCAGTGGAGCTGCACATACATTCCCTCTCATTCTTTGATTGCTTGGTTTAAATTAAGCCCATTATCTTGTGACCTCTTCCATATCTGGGCGGTTGATTCTTCCAAAACCTGGTTGACCTTCGGCCATAGCTCAGGACATTTTATCTTTGAGTTGGTTTCAGTTGGAGGTGGTTATCTTATCTCGTGAACTTTGCACAGAACTGCAGACCCGTTTATTTTCTTGTCTTGAACGTCCTTTGAACAGAAATAGACAGACAGACTTGCTTTCTACCCAATGCTTGTTCAAAGAGGAGCATGGAAGAACAAGGACCAAGTCTTCTAACACTTGGCCAAATCTGAGACTTTTCACTATGAATGTTTGGGACATCCTCTTAGATACACAAAATGGGTCCTTGGTGTTTCTCCATCTCTCGGTGAGTTGTGTTGCTTCCCCCCCCTCCCCCCGAGGTTGATTCTCGATGCTCACTTGTTTATTTTGTTAAACCCCAAAGCAGGACTAATTGAGCCATGGCTAATCAAATATTGCTGAATAAAAACAACCTGAAATCCTTCTTTTAAAACCTGATGCGGCACGTTACATATTTTCACATAGCTAAGTTTATACATCTCCAGTGTCCATTTACATCTATGGTTTAAAACTAACCACAGTCCTTGGACTAGTTCCGCTATAACACAGATGGGTTACAGCTGCGGTTTGTCATCAGGCTAAGTGGGGTTTAACCATCGTGTTTGAATTGTTATAGTAGGGATCCTTGTTATATAAAACTGTAAACTGTGGCTTATCCACCATAGGAATGGCTTCATGTAACATGAGAGATCAAAAAGAAGTAACATGGCAAAATATGAGTATACATCACTGAATTGGGTAGGTCTAGTCTAATGAAAAGAAGGACTAGGGGTGACATGATAGCAGTCTTCCAATATCTCAGGGGCTGCCCCAAAGAAGAGGGAGTCAAGCTATTTTCCAAAGTGGCTGAAGGCAGAACAAGAAGCAACGGACGGAAACTAATCAAGGAGAGAAGCAACCTAGAACTAAGGAGAAATTTCTTGACAGTTAGAACAATCAACCAGTGGAACAACCTGCCTCCAGAAGTTGTGGGTGCTCCATCACTGGAGGTTTTTAAGGAGAGAATGGACAGCCATTTGTCTGGAATGGAATAGGTCTGCTTGCGCAGGGGGATCGGCTAGAAGACCTCCAAGGTCCCTTCCCACTTCGTTAGTCAGTTATTCTGAATCACAAAATCAGAACTCCATCTTAGTAATGCCAGATCCTTGGAGGGGGGGAAAGGCCGTGATTCCCTAAACAAAACGCTTGTCTTTTTAAAAGCAACCCAGAAAAGGGAGTTTGTGAGAAAGATGCATCTGTTTCCAGGAACGGAACAACGGGTCTTTATTTTCTCAAAACGGTATGCGTGTATGTTTGTGTACGAATCCATCACTTCATGGTAATTGAGTTTACTTTTTGTGTTTTGCCCTTTAAAAGCCACTTATGCACATTCTGGGAGACGACAGCAAAGTACACAAATTACAGACCTGCTTGTTATCAATTTGCGGTGCCTGATGGAAAAAAAAATAAGCGAAGAACAGACCGAGAAGCACGTATTATTCCAGCTTCAATTTGTGTTTTTCAAAACAGGACTTTTTGTATCACTGGGGTAATGAAAGGGTGGAAGGAGGAAGAGATATTTAACAAAGTGTTCAGATACCTGGCTGGCGAAGTGCTCAACAAATATTTGCCAAGCCTTGTGGAAGACCTAATGGACCTTCAGGAGAAACGTGTGACTTTACTTAGTGTTCTTCTTGTAAACTCCTTTACCAAACAATGGTTTGTCTTGACCATCATCTAATCTGTCTTTACTCTTTGGGAAAATCAAGATACACCATCTGTTCGTTTCTTCGGGTTTTATTATTTGCCAAATGACCCGGATAATCTCCAGTGAGGCACCTGGTTTACTAAGTTTCCTTCTGAGGAACGATCTCTGGATTAAGCTACGGGACAATTTGGACAGGTCTTCCGTGATGGTGAGACAGGTGGCTCTCCAAAGTTTCATGACCCAGCTAGGGAACATCATCAGTGCTAGAAAGGAGTGGGGTTTGCAGAGTAGATGAGGACAACTGCGGGGTCCTTGGGGTTCTCTGCGCTGGGTTGTTTTTTTGCAGACATTTCATCGCCCAACTAATTAACATCATGCGCTGATGATGTAAGATTCAGAACCAGCTTCTAAGCACTTTTTTAAAAAGGAAACACTTAATTCTTTCCCCTTTGTGAACGGTAGCATTCCTTAAATTTGATTAAGGTGCAGAACGCTCTCTCTCTGTCTCTCTGTCTCTCCTTCTCCTTCTTCTCCTTCTCCTTCAGCAGAGTTAGGCGTTTTTATTATGAGTTGCTTTTTCATAATTCTTGGTTTCCAAAGTCTGTCAGCTCAGGGATTACTAATCTTCTACCGCTAAAGAAATTGAAACAGTGAGTGGGTGGGGGATAATTTTTGACTCGGCTTGTGAAGTTTGACCCTGACTAACGCTACTTAACCAGACGGAGCCTATATCCTCTCGTCGTCTGACAGAGTATCAGCCCGCTGCCCAAATCTTTGCTTATAAAAACTCTGGGAGATCAAAGGTGTGTTCGTGGAAGAGCAGCCAAAATATATTTCTTGTTTTATTTACACAAGCAGCTTTCCTCCCGCTGCTCCCAAGAATTGCTTATTTGTAATACATCCCCATCTCTTCCTTCAAACGACTCCGACAGACACTTCACCCCACCCTGGAATAATATTGCTTACCCATTCAGCCTTTCTGGGAAAAGTTTTCCAACACCCAAAGCTTATTTTCCTCTTGTTAGCAAAGCGATGCTGGGATACAGGCAGTCCTCGACTTAACACGCACGATGGAGGCCAAAAGCGAGACAGCCATTAAGTTCGTTTTGCTTCAATTTTACAACATTTCTTGCGGCAGCTGTTAAATGAATCACTGCAGAATAAAAAAAAAAAGGAGGGCTTCTCCTTGGAGCTTGTCAAAAGCTAATTTTTTCAGCTGCTACATTTATTTTTTTTTAAAAGTTGCCATCTTCCTTTTCGGCTTCCTAAATGTGTCTGTTTGTAGGGAAGCAAAAAAAACCAAAAACAAAACACTTGCAGTTTAAAAGATCTCCATGGGCGCTCTTTGCCACTGACGTAGAATAATTTAATGTGGTTAATTGTGTCAGACTTGACTCTGCAACAGAGTTGGAGGGGCCATCTGCTTTTATAATTTTTTAAGCGAAGTGAGCGGCGTCAACATTAGCCAACATGTGGTTTGCACGCTTTAATGCGGTTGCTTGCTAATTATTGTTGAGTGTTTTCTGGGAAAATAAACCTGCCCTAAAGGTCTTTGCTATTAAAGAAATAACATTCACTGGAGTTTGAAGGAGTTTTCCTTATGGACAGAGGGTGAAGTAATTGGTACAGGTAGTCCTTGACTTACGACGGGTTCAAGGACTATATCTGTATTTTTATGGAGTCTACCTTACATTGACACCCACCAAGCGGAGGCCCGTGTAGTATTCACTAGTAAAATATTAGTAGTTTCAATTGGTTTACAAGGGTGCCTTTCTTTTCATCCAGTGCCTGATGATCTGTCTGCGGAGGAGAGAGAGGAACTTTTAAACATCCGTCGCAGAAAAAAAGAATTAATTGACGATATAGAGGTAATCAATTTCTTTTTCTAATAAACTTTCTTGTCTCCTGGATTGGATCACAGGGGGTCCTTGACTTACGGCAATTGGGAGTAGAATTCCCATGGCTAAGCCAGGGGGTTGTTAAGTGATCCGTGCTCAGTTTTACAACCTTTTTCTGCCACGGTTCTTAAGCAATTCACTGCCTGGATTTTGGTCACGCCATGGCAGGGATTCTGTGGTCGTCGTAAGTGCGAGGATTGGCTGAAAGTCACTTTTTTTCAGTAGAGTCATCACTTTGAACGGTCGCTAAATGGATAGATGTAAGTTGAGGGACTCCCTGTGTTATGGCAGTTAAGTTGTCCTGCCGTTTTTTCAGCTCAAGTTTGTTTGTTTTTTTAAAATAATTGCTACTCAGCAAAGGTAATTCAGCTGCCACGTCATGTGGATAAAATGACAGGGCAGATAAAGATATCTCGAGATTTATGAAGAATCTAAATTCCTTTTAAAAAGAAAAAGAAAAGAAAAGAAATGAACAAACTTACTATCCCACAGGTGCGCTTTCTGGGAAAGCTCCTTTAATTATTTTAATTGGATCAATGGGATTTAGGCACTGCCCCATTCCTGAATGACTCTGTGTTTGTGTGGCTCACAGTAGGGCATCTGACATAAAATACAACACAATTCCCCCCCCCAAAAAAAACAACAACCCCTAAACCAAGAAAAACAAAAAGGGTTAGGATAAAGAACGAAGACACAGAATCCAGCCGACGGCACCAAAAGGACACATCCACAACATTCGCCAAGGGTAAACTCTGACTTTGTGTTCTTTCTGCAGCGGTTAAAATTTGAGATCGCAGAAGTTATGACTGAGATTGATCACCTGACCAGCGTAGAGGAGAGGTGAGTGCTCCTCCTCCTCCTCCTCCTCCTCCTCCTCCTCCTCCTCCTCTTCCTCTCTTTGCAAACCCCACTCCATTCTAGCACCGATGATGTTACCTAGTTTGGTAATGAAACATCTGCAAGAAAACCACAAGCTCAAAGAGCATCCAGGATCCCTCAGTCCTCCTCCTCCTCCTCCTCCTCTTTGCAAACCCCACTCCATTCTAGCACCGATGATGTTACCTAGTTGGTTAATGAAACGTCTGCAAGAAAACAACCAAGTTCAAAGAATACCAAGGATCCCACATTTCAGTCCAGAGCTACAAAAATTCCTTTGCATGGAAAGTATTTGCTGGCAGGAACTTTTTTGCAGTCAATAATTGTAGACTTTTGCATCAGATCTCTTTGTTTAGTCAATTTATTGTATAATCTTTTTTCCTTAGCTGCAAGATAACATGTTCTGTATCCGGAGCAGGAATAAATTTTAAAGGGTTTTCTATCCTAACTCGCACTTGGATCTTAGCAAACAAAAATGTAATAAGGGGAAAGGGGTTGTCTCTCTTATTTTCCCCCCAAAGACAACAAAAATTATATTTTTGTTTGTCTTTGAGGAAAAATAAGAGAGACAAAATCCATTTTCCCTTATTCAGAGTGTGTTATTTTAGTGCATCTGGACCCAGAGTTGAAGGTTTCAAGATGTGAAGGTTGAGATTCTTGTGTTAACTTTTTGAAGGTTGAACTAGATCTCACGGCGTTTTGGGCACAACCTCCGTGGTTTGTTTATCAAGCCTCTGCAATCGTTTTAGTTGTGGGATTGTGCTAGCAAAGCAGAAAACCTAAACGCTTGTTGGCATCCAGACACTCGGTGTATTATTCCATCCGTTCCTTTGGATGAATCCAGTTTAACTGGTTTGTGGGTTAAAACCTTATAATTCCTGGCTCCTGCATTTGCCAGAATATTTAAATGCCATTTCTGACTCTCTACCATGAAGCTAAAGCTACTTACTGTATGATTTTTCTCTGAGTTAACAACAATTTTAAACCATGAGAAGGGGTATTCAGCTAGGTTGTAGGCTCTTTGTGCGCTCACCTGACCCATAAACAATGCCTTCAATTTAATTGAGGAAACACATTTTTGTTCTAATTCTGTCTTTTTTTATTCCTCTTCCCTCCAAACTGACAGTAAAGCTACCCAGAGGAATAAGCAAGTTGCAATGGGAAGGAAAAAGTTTAACATGGATCCCAAGAAGGTGAGACTTTCTCAGTTCTTGAGAATGTGTACTTTGAGCTGAATTGCTTCATGTGGCCCAAATCATGGTTTGTTTAACCACAGTTTGTTCAGTCAGCTATAGTTGGAGGCGTTGATCGCATGCTTTAAGCCAGGGGTGAACAACCTTGACAACTTTTAAGACCTGTGGACTTCAACTCCCAGAATTCCTCAGCCAGCATGACCCCCTAACTCATTAAAATATAGTAGATTTACGTCAGGTGTATCCAAACTTGGCAATTTTAAGACTCGTGGACTTCAACTCCCAGAATTCCCCAGCCAGCCAACTGCCAGAATTCCCAGCTACAAGCACGCAGTGACAGACGCCATCTTGTTTTATTAACCCAGCTCCTCTGATCTCCATTGTACCACCTTGCTGGAAAAGCCCAATAAATGGAGCTTGGCAACATTGGAGCATGCTCTCTAGGGCTGTTCTGCAAACGTATCTCTCTCTTATTACATTTCAGTCTTCATCCATTTTTCCATTTTTCTTTATTAGATCTCAAAGAGACAGTTCAGCGAAGGCATGTTCTTTTTGTCTGGTTCACCTCCTAAGAGCTAAATACATCTGGAACTTCGTCTTCTCCCTACGGGGTTAGCTTGATTTTGTTTCCGATGACGCTAATTTCATTTTCTTGAGTCATCTGGATTTCCAGAAGACAAGCCCCATTAGAAGAAAGCATAGAGCTGAAAGAAAGAGAGAGAGAGGGAGAGAGAGAGGGAGAGAGAGGAGAGAGAGAGAAGGAGAGGAAGAGAAAGAGGAAGAAAGAGGGTCAGAAAGAGAGAGAGAGAGAGAAAGAGAGAGTGAAATAGAGAAAGAGAAAGAAAGAAAAAAGAGAAAGAAAGAGAAAGGGATGGAGAGAGGGATAGAGAGAAAGAGATAGAAAGAGAACGAGAGAAAGATAGAGAGCGAGAAAGAACAGGGAAGAGATGGAGAGAAAGAGAGAAAGAGAAAGCGAAAGAAAGAGGGAGAGAAAGAGAGAGATAGAGTGAAAGAGAGAGATAGAAAGAAATAGAAAGAGAGAGAGAGAAAAGAGACCCCTTGAACAGCTTTTCTCCTGGTGGTTTTGTGGAAGGAAACACAATTCTTTTGTGTAACCAAATGCTGCCTCCAAATGGAAATCAGATTCTTGGTTTTTTTGTGTCTCGGCTAGATATTTATTTAGGGAAGTTTTTGCAACACTTGACTTACGATCACAATTGGGGCCTGAATTTCTGCTGCTAAGCGCGGCGGTTGTCCAGCAAGTTGTGCCCCATTTTACAACCTTTTTTCCCCCGTGGTTGTTAAGCGAATCAGTGCGGACGTTAAGCGAAACTGGTTTCTCCCCGTTGACTTTGTTTGTCAGCTGGGAAGATGGCAAATGGCAATCACGTGACCCTGGTTATATACTGCAACCGTCGTAAATTGATGCCGATTGCCAAGCTCCCAATCGCGAGGATGCTGTCATAAGTGCGAGGACCTGTCACGAGTGACTCCCCCCCCCGTGCTGCTGTAACTGTGAAAGATTGTTAAACAAATGGTTGAAGCAGAGCATTACTTTAGCTGTTTTCTGCACCCACAGACAGACAGACAGACAGACAGACAAAGGGAGTGAAAAACAGCAGCCGGTTTTTCAAGACTAAAAAGAGTTTCCAGGCTTGATAAAATATCTTTGGGCTTACCCTGATAATAAAATTATTCAATGCATTTTTCTCCCTCAGGAAGAGGAAGGACCGCTTGCCTTTTGGCACCAAGTGCTGCGGCTGGCCTCCGGGTTCCTTCCGTCAAAAATACATTTGTTTTTCCTTATTTCTCCTCCATTCCGAACTCCTGCTTTGAACTTTCCATTTGTTTGTTTGTTTGGGAAAATGAACCCAGTATTTCCACTCGGGCCGTTTGTGGTTCCAACTGTCTCAAGAAGGAAAAAAAGAGCAATAAATCTTGCCCAGGAATTGCTCCCATGAAGTCCTGGTTTCAAAAGGGTAGTTAAAATGCCATTTTTAACTATGAGGGGGGACATGATAGCAGTGTTCCAAAATCTCAGGGGCTGCCCCAAAGAAGAGGGAGTCAAGCTGTTCTCCAAAGCTCCTGAAGGCAGGACAAGAAGCAACGGATGGAAACTAATCAAGGAGAGAAGCAACCTAGAACTAAGGAGAAACTTCCTGACAGTTAGAACAATTAACCAGTGGAACAACCTGCCTCCAGAAGCTGTGAGTGCTCCAACACTGGAAGTTTTTAAGAAGAGACTGGACAGCCATTTGTCTGAAATGGTATAGGGTTTCCTGCCTGAGCAGGGGGTTGGCCTAGATGACCTCCAAGGTCCCTTCCAACTTTATTATTATTATTATTATTACTATTATTACTATTACTATTATTATTATTATTATTATTATTATTATTATTATTATTATTATTATTATTATTATTATTATTATTATTATTATTATTATTATTATTAAAGGCTCAAAAAGCAGAACCAGATTTGCACAGTGAGATTTGAGTCAAAAGCAAGCAAACCACCATGTTAGCCTAACATTATTAATCACAATTAATCATTGTGAAAATAAGCCACGGATTAGTGTGGTTTTTAGCAATGAGATGGCCAAAGCTTTGGGTGGACAAATTTCCTTGTTCAATAAACCATGGTTAAAAGAAGCTACAGGTTAGTGCAGTATTTAGCAATGTGTAACCATGAAGTGGCCAAGCCTTAGGGTAGATGAGTTTCCTTGCTCAATAAACTGTGATTAAAACAAGCCATGAGTTAATATGCTATTGCTAAATACAAAGAAGAGGGAGTCAAGCTATTCTCCAAGGCACCTGAAGGCAGGACAAGAAGCAACGGATGGAAACTAATCAAGGAGAGAAGCAACCTAGAACTAAGGAGAAGTTTCCTGACAGTGAGGACAATTAACCAGTGGAACAACCTGCCTCTAGAAGTTGTGGGTGCTCCATCACTGGAGGTTTTTAAGAAGAGATTGGACAGCCATTTGTCTGAAATGGTACTATAGGGTTTTCCTGCTTGAGCAGGGGGTTGGACTAGAAGACCTCCAAGGTCCCTTCCAATTCTGTTATTCTGTATTTCCGGGATGTAAATTTTGATAAAGAGCAACAAAGCCTCAATTCTTGTTTTCTTTTTTTTTTTTTTTTTAGGGAATTCAATTTCTCATCGAGAATGATCTCCTGCAGAAGATGCCAGAAGACATTGCCGAGTTCCTTTATAAAGGGGAAGGGCTCAATAAAACCGTTATCGGCGATTATCTCGGTGAAAGGTAAATGGAGGCCAGTCCCGGGGTGTATCTCCTTAAGATGGACACGGAGAGCTGGATTTAGAACCTCCGGTTTCCTTTCCTTTTGCAGGTAGTCCTCAACTTACAACAATTTGTTTAGTGACCGTTCGAACTTACAACGGCACTGGAAAAAAAGCCACTTATGACCATTTTTCACCCGTTGCAGCATTTCCCTGGTCAAAATTCAGCAACGGTGGCCAGAAACGTCGTAAAATGGGGCAAAACGTCACTTAATAACTGTCTGGTTTAGCAACAAAAATGGGGGGCTCAGTTGAGCTTGTAAGTCCAGGGCTACCTGAATTTATTTCTTCGTTTGCATCCTGCTTTTATTATTTTGAAAAATAACTCAAGGTGGCAAACAGACCCACAACAGTCGTCCCAAAGGTGTTTTTCCAAAAAGGCAACTTAACTTTCTTGGGTTTTTTTTTCCCCTTGAAAACGTTTCGCTTCTCATCCAAGAAGCTTCTTCAGTTCAGTTCAGAACAGCACAGTGGGAGGGGGTTGATTGAGTAACCACAGATCCCATCATCCCCCACTCCACCCCCTCCCCTCCCCACGTGCCCTTAGGTTTTAACATTTCATTTGAATGAATTTATGCTTTCATGTATATGTATAGAAATGTTTTTAGGACTATAAGCCGCCCAGATTTACCGCCCAGATGGTAAGATAGGCGGCCAATACATTTGATAAGTAAATATGTAAATAAATACAATATCCACATCCCAAACATAAATCTAAAAGACTCTGCTGTGTTGGCTTGCAACGCCGACAGGTAAAATCCTACAGGGCATTTATAGAATTGGGATTCGCCAGGTGAGGAATTGAAAGCAGGACAGTTTCACATTAACGATACGCCCTTGCTTTCAATCTGCTGAGGCAGCCGTATTATTCCTTTATTTTTCTTTTCCTCTCCTCCCCTTCCTTTCGTCCTCTCGACAAGACAGGTGATTGCTACCCGGTTTACAATGGAGGAGGCCATACTTGACCAAAATTACCCCGAGAAAAACAGAATACGATAATAATGAGGTCTTGAAGAAAGGCCTCGTGATCTTAGTGACACGGCGAAGGCCTCAAAAACTCTCTGGAGTTGCTACTTGCTCAATTGCACGATTGTCGTGGTTGATATGATTGTGTCAAAGATAAAAAACAAAAACAACCGCCCGCCTCTGAACCTCCCCACGTTCATTTCCCCATTGGCCAAGGCTTCCTAGTGTTTACACAACCATCAGCTTGCCTCCGACTTAATGAGTGGGTTTTTCGACATATTAATTAAAATTCTTGGAGAGGTTTGTCGGGGCTGTCTTTGGAAACCGCCTGTCAAAATCCACCTGCCCTTTCTTAGGATGGAAGCGGATCCCCAACATTTTAATCTGCTTCTGCTTTTCGGACACACCCTGTGAATTGCAGGGCTTCATATCGGACGTGATTAAATGATGCTGAATCACTGTCTCAATCATGGGATTCTCACTGGCCCGAAAAGAAAGGCGACGGGGGGGGGGGGGGGCTTGGTTGTTCCCGTTTCATGGTGGTTTGTGTCAACAGGCATCTGTGTCTCTGGTGCTCTCTGATCCTGGTGGTTTTCTTGCAGATGTTTCATTACCAAACCAGGTAACATCACCAGTGGTATCCTCAGCAGTGCACTGATGATGCTGCCTAGTTTGGTAATGAAACGTCTGCAAGAAAAGAACCAAGCTCAGAGAGCACCACGTGCCCTTAGGTTTTAACATTTCATTTGAATGAATTTATGCTTTCATGTATATGTATAGAAATGTTTTTAGGACTATAAGCCTCCTCTCCACAAACCCCACTCCCTTCTAGCACTGATGATGTTACCTAGTTGGGTAATGAAGTGTCTGCAAGAAAAGAACCAAGCTCAGAGAGCATCAAAGACCACAAAGTCCTCTCCTTCTCTTCCTCCTCTTCCCCCCCTCCTCCTCCTCCCTAACTCTACACCCTTCTAGCATTGATGATGTTGCCTAGTTGGGTAATGAAACGTCAGGTAAGCAGGTTGGAGGTAAGAAAATATTTGTGAACATCATTCCTCACCAACAACAGTCCCTGCCTTGGACAGAGGAGGACACCGTCTGCAGAAGAATGGTGTGCAGTTGTGACACCAGGGCCTGATGTAACAATATGCGCCAGCTAAGAAAAAGTTTGCAGTGGCAGCTTTAATTTTGGCGTGTCCTGTTTCTGGGTGATTCACCTCGTTGCTTGGACATCCTTTGGAGGTTTAATTTGCTCCTCCTCCTCCCAAACTCCACTCCCTTCTAGCACTGATGATGTTATCTAGTTGGGTCATGAAACATCTGCAAGACAACAACCAAGCTCAGAGGGCACCAAGGACCCCACAGTCCTCTTCCTAATCCACAGCTTGTGCATTGATGACGTTGTCCTTTTTTCAATTAGCTAATAATAAAAATAATTCCTTAAGGTTATTGTTGAAGTTGCCTGGTTTGGACCAGTGACCGTAGCTTGGTCACTGGCCAATGAAAATAAAATAACCCAACCACCACAAAAGCCCAACCTCTGAACATTAAATTAAACAGTTACTATTTCAACTTCTCCATCTTTCTTTTACAGGGATGACTTTAATATTAAAGTACTTCAGGCTTTTGTTGAACTCCATGAGTTTGTGGATCTCAATCTCGTCCAAGCACTACGGTAGGAAAGATTTTTAAGAGGCTATTGGAGAAAGGGGGTTAAAAATGCTCGAGGCTGTAGTAGGTGTGTGTGTGTGTGTGTGTGTGTGTGTGTGTGTGTGTGTGTGTGTGTGTGTAAGGCTACTTACAAGGCTTTTCTGTGAAGATCCCTCGATTAAACTCTCTCTTGATCTTAACTGTAGAGTTTAGCATTGTGTACAGCCTCCTACGCTAAGCCACAACTCAGTTTGTACAGGAATAGCTGGTGTGTTAGTTGATTTCAGCTAATGCGGTTTCTTAATATAATTCATAGCTTACCAAATGTGGCTGCATTGCGATTGCCCGCCCGCAGAAATAATTTTAAAAAATTAAAATTAAAAAAATATATGAAGAAATCACGATGGCAGCACCAACCTTCTGATAGAAGCCCCCCCTTCTTTTGGCTGCCATCTTGATTTTTTTGTTTTTTAACCAACCCTTTGGTCAAGCCTGTGCTTCGCCATCCCCAGGGTCAAATTTGCTTCAACATAGTTGGTTGACTAAGCCACTGTTTGGCTATGTTTGCACGGGGGACAAATTCTCTTGTAACTTGAAGAGAAGGAGGAACCTGTTCAGAGATTGTGTGGATGAAGTTAGCCTGGCTCACACAAATCAAGGCTTAGCATGGCCCCTAAAAGATTTGGAAACATGCAATTAGCCGGTGGAACGGCTTGCCTCCAGAAGTTGTGGGTGCTCCAATCTTGGAGGTTTTCAAGAAGAAATTGGACAACCGTTTGTCCAGAATTGTATGAGGTCTCTGGCTTACGCAGGGGGTTGGGCGAGAAGATCTCCACGGTCCCTCCCAATGCTGTTATNGTGCTCCATCACTGGAGGTTTTTAAGAAGAGATTGGACAGCCATTTGTCTGAAATGGTACTATAGGGTTTTCCTGCTTGAGCAGGGGGTTGGACTAGAAGACCTCCAAGGTCCCTTCCAATTCTGTTATTCTGTATTTCCGGGATGTAAATGTTGATAAAGAGCAACAAAGCCTCAATTCTTGTTTTCCTTTTTTTTTTTTTTTTTTTTAGGGAATTCAATTTCTCATCGAGAATGATCTCCTGCAGAAGATGCCAGAAGACATTGCCGAGTTCCTTTATAAAGGGGAAGGGCTCAATAAAACCGTTATCGGCGATTATCTCGGTGAAAGGTAAATGGAGGCCAGTCCCGGGGTGTATCTCCTTAAGATGGACACGGAGAGCTGGACTTAGAACCTCCGGTTTCCTTTCCTTTCGCAGGTAGTCCTCAACTCACAACAATTTGTTTAGTGACCGTTCGAACTTACAACGGCACTGGGAAAAAAGCCACTTGTGAGCATTTTTCACCCGTTGCAGCATTTCCCTGGTCAAAATTCAGCAACGGTGGCCAGAATCGTCGTAAAATGGGGCAAAACTTCACTTAATAACTGTCTGGTTTAGCAACAAAAATGGGGGGCTCAGTTGAGCTTATAAGTCAATGGCTACCTGAATTTATTTCTTCGTTTGCATCCTGCTTTTATTATTTTGAAAAATAACTCAAGGTGGCAAACAGACCCACAACAGGTGTCCCAAAGGTGTTTTTCCAAAAAGGCAACTTAACTTTCTTGGGGTTTTTTTCCCCCCTTGAAAACGTTTCGCTTCTCATCCAAGAAGTTTCTTCAGTTCAGTTCAGAACAGCACAGTGGGAGGGGGTTGGTTGAGTAACCACAGATCCCATCATCCCCCACTCCACCCCCTCCCCTCCCCACGTGCCCTTAGGTTTTAACATTTCATTTGAATGAATTTATGCTTTCATGTATATGTATAGAAATGTTTTTAGGACTATAAGCCGCCCAGATTTACCGCCCAGATGGTAAGATAGGCGGCCAATAAATTTGATAAGTAAATATGTAAATAAATACAATATCCACATCCCAAACATAAATCTAAAAGACTCTGCTGTGTTGGCTTGCAACGCCGACAGGTAAAATCCTACAGGGCATTTATAGAATTGGGATTCGCCAGGTGAGGAATTGAAAGCAGGACAGTTTCACATTAACGATACGCCTTGCTTTCAATCTGCTGAGGCAGCCGTATTATTCCTTTTTTTTTTTTCTTTTCCTCTCCTCCCCTTCCTTTCATCCTCTCGACAAGACAGGTGATTGCTACCCGGTTTACAATGGAGGAGGCCATACTTGACCAAAATTATCCAGAGAAAAACGGAATAAAATAAGGAGGTCTTAAAGAAAGGCCTCGTGATCTTAGTGACATGGCGAAGGCCTCAAAAACTCTCTGGAGTTGCTACTTGCTCAATTGCACGATTGTCGTAGTTGATATGATTGTGTCAAAGATAAAAAACAACAACAACAACCGCCCGCCTCTGAACCTCCCCACGTTCATTTCCCCTTGGCCAAGGCTTCCTAGTGTTTACACAACCATCAGCCTGCCTCCGACTTAATGAGTGGGTTTTTCGACATATTAATTAAAATTCTTGGAGAGGTTTGTCGGGGCTGTCTTTGGAAACCGCCTGTCAAAATCCACCTGCCCTTTCTTAGGATGGAAGCGGATCCCCAACATTTTAATCTGCTTCTGCTTTTCGGACACACCCTGTGAATTGCAGGGCTTCATATCAGACGTGATTAAATGATGCTGAATCACTGTCTCAATCATGGGATTCTCACTGGCCTGAAAAGAAAGGCGACGGGGGGGGGGGGGCTTGGTTGTTCCCGTTTCATGGTGGTTTGTGTCAACAGGCATCTGTGTCTCTGGTGCTCTCTGATCCTGGTGGTTTTCTTGCAGATGTTTTCATTACCAAACCAGGTAACATCACCAGTGGTATCCTCATCAGTGCACTGATGATGCTGCCTAGTTTGGTAATGAAATGTCTGCAAGAAAAGAACCAAGCTCAGAGAGCACCAAGGACCCCATAATCCTCCTCCTCCTCTCCACAAACCCCACTCCCTTCTAGCACTGATGATGTTACCTAGTTGGGTAATGAAGTGTCTGCAAGAAAAGAACCAAGCTCAGAGAGCATTAAGGACCCCACAGTCATTGTCCTCGTCCTCGTCCTCCTCTTCCTCCTCCTCCTCTCTGCAGACCCCCCTCCCTTCTAGCACTGATGATGTTACCTAGTTGGGTAATGAAGTGTCTGCAAGAAAAGAACCGAGCTCAGAGAGCATCAAAGACCACAAAGTCCTCCTCCTTCTCTTCCTCCTCTTCCCCCACTCCTCCTCCTCCCTAACTCTACACCCTTCTAGCATTGATGATGTTGCCTAGTTGGGTAATGAAACGTCAGGTGAGCAGGTTGGAGGTAAGAAAATATTTGTGAACATCATTCCTCACCAACAATAGTCCCTCCCTTGGACAGAGGAGCACACTGTCTGCAGAAGAATGGTGTGCAGTTGTGACACCAGGGCCTGATGTAACAATATGCGCCAGCTAAGAAAAAGTTTGCAGTGGTAGCTTTAATTTTGGCGTGTCCTGTTTCTGGGTGATTCACCTCGTTACTTGGACATCCTTTGGAGGTTTAATTCGCTCCTCCTCCTCCTCCTCCCAAACTCCACTCCCTTCTAGCACTGATGATGTTATCTAGTTGGGTCATGAAACATCTGCAAGACAACAACCAAGCTCAGAGGGCACCAAGGACCCCACAGTCCTTCTCCTCCTCCTCCTCCTCCTCCATCCTCCATTCCCTTCTAACACTGATGATGCTCTCTAGTTGGGTCATGAAACATCTGCAAGAAAACAACCAAGCTCAGAGGGCACCAAGGACCACACTGTCCTCTTCCTAATCCACAGCTTATGCACTGATGACGTCTTTTTTCAATTAGCTAATAATAAAAATAATTCCTTAAGGTTATTGTTGAAGTTGCCTGGTTTGGACCAGTGACCATAGCTTGGTCACTGGCCAATGAAAATAAAATAACTCAACAACCTCAAAAGCCCAACCTCTGAACATTAAATTAAACAGTTACAGTACTATTTCAACTTCTCCATCTTTCTTTTACAGGGATGACTTTAATATTAAAGTACTTCAGGCTTTTGTTGAACTCCATGAGTTTGTGGATCTCAATCTTGTCCAAGCATTACGGTAGGAAAGATTTTTAAGAGGCTATTGGAGAAAGGGGGTTAAAAATGCTTGAGGCTGTAGTAGGGGTGTGTGTGTGTGTGTGTGTGTGTGTGTGTGTGTGTGTAAGGCTACTTACAAGGCTTTTCTGTGAAGATCCCTCGATTAAACTCTCTCTTGATCTTAACTGTAGAGTTTAGCATTGTGTACAGCCTCCTACGCTAAGCCACAACTCAGTTTGTACAGGAATAGCTGGTGTGTTAGTTGATTTCAGCTAATGCGGTTTCTTAATATAATTCATAGCTTACCAAATGTGGCTGCATTGCGATTGCCCGCCCGCAGAGATAATTTAAAAAAAATAAAATTAAAAAAAAATGAAGAAATCAAGATGGCAGCACCAACCTTCTGATGGAAGCCCCCTCCCTCTTTCGGCTGCCATCTTGATTTTTTTGTTTTTTAACCAACCCTTTGGTCAAGTCTGTGCTTCGCCATCCCCAGGGTCAAATTTGCTTCAACATAGTTGGTTGACTAAGCCACTGTTTGGCTATGTTTGCACGGGGGACAAATTCTCTTGTAACTTGAAGAGAAGGAGGAACCTGTTCAGAGATTGTGTGGATGAAGTTAGCCTGGCTCACACAAATCATGGCTTAGCATGGCCCCTAAAAGATTTGGAAACATGCAATTAGCCGGTGGAACGGCTTGCCTCCAGAAGTTGTGGGTGCTCCAATCTTGGAGGTTTTCAAGAAGAAATTGGACAACCGTTTGTCCAGAATTGTATGAGGTCTCTGGCTTACGCAGGGGGTTGGGCGAGAAGATCTCCACGGTCCCTCCCAATGCTGTTAT